ATTTTAGTCTTCTTATCCTTTGACTTGATTTTGGCCTTTCCTTTGTTAGTATTCTGATTTGTTTCGAGAATTGGTGTAGACTACATCCTATAGAAAGTAAAGAATTTTTTGAAAAGATAAGAATAGATCTAATTAGATCACTCATGCTAATAAAAGATAATTATAAGTATATAGTAGTTACTAAAGATAGCTTCTTAACTAGTTGTGACTTGCAGCAGTCAATCAGAGAGTTGTGACAGAGTAGCAGCAGCTAATCAGAGAATTATAATAGAGTTATGGCTAGTTGTGATTTCTATTACTAGTAATTACTATAGATTATTCTATTAAATAGACAGAAGTATTATAATTATTTCATTAAAATTAGCAATTCCAAAAATCATGGAGAGAATAGTTCTAATTGTAACATCACATACTTTCTGATCTCCTATTATTCAGCATTATCCAGCATCACATTTATAATCCCTATTTTTTATTTTTTTATTTACTAGTATATATTGTTAATATAGTAGATCATAATACATTATCTGTTAATATTATATATTGTAACAATCTTCTAGTATATTTCAATATAATTATTTAGCATAATCATTCATGTTCTTTAATATATTTCAGCATAATTATTCAGTATAATTATTCACATTCTTCAGTATAATAGATCACACCACTTCTTCTTTTAGCTACCTTTTACTATTGCTTGATCTATTAATGTAATAAAGAAATTATATAGAGTTAGAATAGTATCACTTCTAATATAGCAAAAGATAATATATAAAATGAATATTTCTTGGATCTTTAAGAAAGAACAGAAAAGAAGAAAAAAAAATAAAATAAAATAAATACTGTATATATTATCTTTTCTCCAAAAAAAAGTACTTGTAAAAATTATTTTATTAGAATTATAATTCTAATGTGTTGGTTAGATTCTTTTCATCTGAAAAGATAACGTGTAGGTTAAATTCTTTCTACCAGAAAAGACAACATGTTGATTAGATTCTTTTCACCTAAAAAAATGATGAATTGGTTAGATTCTTTAATCCAGAAAAGATAAAATGCATCATTGATTAAATGATTTGATTGATTTGAGTTTAAGACTTTTAGCTAGAAAAAGTATAGAAATAGAAAGAATAGATTAGTTAATAATTAATATATAAATTCTTCTTTACCCTATTTCATAATTATCTTTGAAGTGATCATAATAAACAATATTTGAAGATATTGGCACAGGATTTAGATCAATTAGTAATATTAATCTAATTGCCCTCTCCCATCTATAGTCACAGTATATAAATTTTCTTAAATTCATGAAACTTCAATCCATCTGTGACATTTGTGATACCCCCTTCATGGATATAACTATATCAAACTAATACTCTTCCCAACAGATTACTATTTAAAAATTGAATTGGAATTGAAAAATTATGATGATGATTATAAACAAATTATCCTACTAATCGAAGAGGAACTTGAAATTAATAAAGTAAATGAAGAACCCAAAATAAATGAAATGGCAAATAATATGGATAACTTGATTCAAGCCCTTGCTAACCTTACCAAAGCCATAAATGCCAGATTAGCCTAATGATCAGAAAAGATCTTGATATCAATTAGGAAATTCTGAGATGAAAACCAAGATCCAGTTGAGTAGATTAGGAATTTCAAAATTACTGCTTGTGCTAATAAAATCACAGATGAAAGAAAAATTCAAATTATATGAGGTTATCTTGAAGGAACCGCTACCATTTGGTTTGACCAGAGGCATATTGATGCTAACTTTTGACTGAATATTTGGACAAATTAATAGTATGATAAACATAACTTCAAACATTAATTTATCCTAAAGTTTTGAACAAATCAAAAAGTAGAATAATGACAGGACAAACTTGAAAAATTAAAACAAGAAGGAATTATAGAAGAATATACTAACCATTTTATCTAGTTACTCAAAAAAGTTGATCCTGACAGATATTATCTAGCAGACTATCGTATGTGAACTTACAAAAGGAGACTTAAACCTAAAATCAAAAAGTGGGTTAATATTAACTCAGATGGTATATGAGATAATATTATCAAGATGACCAAGACTATCAAAGAAGCCAGTACTGAAGAAATAACATAAACTTATCACCAACTCCAAGTTGCACTATTCATTGATGTTAATGTATTGAATCAAATCCTTTGAAGCTTAATTAATAGGTTGGAACAAGTTGAAATCATCAAGAAAATAACTTATCAATCCAGAATATATGACAGAAATAGGAATCAACAAAGTACCAGAAATCCACTAACCTATTATTGATATAATCAGACTGGATACATATAATGATTTTGTTAGAATACTCATAATACAAATAATATTCTTCCAAATAATTAATAGAGTCAACAGTTAACCTATAATGTAAAAATAGTAATAATCCTTTTGGACAAAATAATATTGCCACAACACAAGTATCCAAAGCAAATAATACCTGACTAATTAATACTGATGCTCTTCTTTTACAGATCCAGATACTTGCTAATATTATCCAGACATCTATCAATACTAAAAATAATACTCATAGTATATCGAACTTAATACTCTTAATAATACATGAATACTTGGTCAGAAAATATAAACAAACTAAGATAGAACTCCTGGAAAATGATGTAAGTGAAGGGATCGAGCAAGCTAAGAAAATACCTATAATACCCGAGCAAGCTAAGAACAAGTCAGAAGATAAAAAGAAAAAGAAAAAGATCAAAGTGGAATTATCAGTATTTATCTTCTAGGTTATTCCTTATGATATCTTAAATAATCTCACTATCGCAAAGACCAATATCATCATTATATAATTAATTAAAACTTTACCAGAATAATGTATCAAGATGTTTAAAGGAATAAGATGACCTATCAAAAAGAAGATGATATAGAAGATGACTAGAATGACCAGCCAGACAAGAATCAAAACTATCTCAACTTGATGTGAAGCCAAAGTTAGAAATACATCTATCAATCTTATTATTGATACTGAAGTCTTAGGATATATGATTAGTCACAAATTTCTAAAAAAACAAAACATGAAAATATAAAGGAAATTAAATATAATAATGACAGATATAAATGGCCATATCAAGCAGCTGTTAAGAGCAATTGACAAGTTTCTAATCATGATCAATAGAATTATAATTCCAGCAGAGATCAATGTTATGGAAGTCAAAATCTACAATATAGTAATCAATATAAATTTACTAAACAAAGTAAATACCAATATCAATATCAAAAAGGATGCTATGATACTAAAATGAAATGGACAAAAAAAAAGATTAATATCTAGTATATTCATGGTCAAAGAAATCTTATAAATCTTGAATCTGATATAGATGACTCTGAACTCTCTGATGATAAATTAACTGATAATAATGAAGAATTCAAAGAATAATAACTAGAGAATCAGAACTTTCTTTGTTGGACTGTCAAAAACTCTTAAATGCAGATACAAACAGTTATCTGAATGTTGGATGAAGTTGACTTTGGAAGAATACCCCAATATATTACCAGAAGAATACCAAAGGTTGATGATATCTGTATCTATAAGAAAGGAATTTAAATTAATAATAAGACAATTGATTGGGAGGAATATGGTCACTTGAAAAGAAAATTTAATCAAATCAAATATCACAACTCAAAATAGAAGTTCAACTAGAAGAGTCTGGCTAAATGTTAGTGTCAATATATACTTTCAAACTCAATCCACAAATACCAAATATACTACTAGAAATTAATTGTATGGATCAATATAAAGCTTCAAGTCTCTAATAATCTTTCTATTCTTCTAGACAAGAGCTCTTGTAAGAATTAGTGGATCGAGATAAAAAACCAGCAACTCTCTGATAAAATTCTAATCATTAAAACCAAGTTTCTGACCAAAGAATTAGCTCTTATCTGTCTTTTAACTGGATGAATGAGTAAAATGCTGTCATAAATGTCAATACTATATAAATAATCTAAGGATGATAATAGTAATTGAGCAAGATGAATTCAAGAATAAATACTGTGAAGACTGCATAAATATAGGAAAACTAAACTTATTTATATGCTTCCAGTATAGTACTCATGCTCCTGCATCTGAAATGTATAGTATTGGAAGCTATTACTCAATCAAATATTTTTATTCCTATTATAAATAATGTGTTTATATGTTCAATCACAGAGGCTGAAAGAAAAATAACAAAATGATTTAGAAGTTATGTAAAGGCAGAATACTTACTTTGGTGTATCAGAAATATAATGAAATTGAAAAAACCATCTTATCTCATTATGTTAATGAAGATGACTTTGAAGATGAATTAGGATATATTAATTATGAAGAATCCAAAGAAGCTCTAGCAGTTGAAATCTTTATATTAATATATCAATAACTAACTCCAGAATGACAATCACAATTAGCTTGGCTAGAATTCATCAATATCTGTCTCTGTACCAAATATCTAATTCCTTGTAACTCTGAGAAATATGATGATTATAGTATGCAGTCCACACCAATTCTCGAAACAAATCAGAATACTAACAAAGGAAAGGCCAAAATCAAGTCAAAGGATAAGAAGACTAAAATTAAAATGAAAGCCAAGATGAGAGAAAAAGTTGATTCAAGATAGGAGTATTCTAGTAAAATAAATAATGAGATGAGAAATAATAACTACAAGATAATAAATAATAACTATCATACATGAGAAATAAATCCTTATAGGAATGATGAAGAATATATTAAAAGAGAAAATGATCAATGTACTATATCAAAAGAAGCTAATTACCTAATTAAAGTTTACATTAATGATAATAAAGAAAGAATTCCAGAATGCACTCATGAAACTGATATGAGATTTGATTTCTATTACTTTAGAATGGAAACCATCATTATCAAACCAAGCCAAACTATTCTAATTGATCTCTTTATCACATTTAAAGTTCCTATAGGAATCATCTGCCAATTAATATCATGATTATTCTTAGTAAAGAAAGATATAGAAGTAAAAGAAGGAATAATCAATGCTAGATATACTAAAAATATAGGTGTACTTATCTATAATAATTTGACTTCTTTATATTAAATTTAGCCTAATAAATAGATAGTCCAAGCAGTATTTCTGAAATTGGCAGATATCAATAGTATTTAAGTAGTTTTGACATAACAAAAATTAGGTAAATCTAGTAGAGAGGCTGCTAGCTTTGGATCTATAGAACAAGTTGAACTAAAGATATACCTCCTGGAGATAGAAGACCGTGATGAAGTAATTGAATAAAGAAAGTTGGACCAACAGTAAATAAAGTAGTTTCAGAATTTATTGGATGCATATAAGAATCTGTTTATTACTGATATGACTAAATTGGGAAGGATTAATTTAGTCTAACATATAATTAATATAGCTGATACATGTCCTATTTGACAAAGAGCATATAGGACAACTTTACCAGAGTAGGAATTTATTCATAATAAGGTATAGCAAATATTGAAAGTGGAGATTATTCAATAGTCAAGTAGTCCATGAGCTTTTCCTGTGATAGTGGTTAGTAAAAAGAATAGAAAAAAATATTTTTGTGTAGACTATTAGAAAATTAATATCATGATAAAGAAGAATACATATCTCTTATCACAGATTGATGAAATACTAGAAAACTTGGAAAATGCAAAATAATTCTCTTCACTCGATCTTACTAATGAATATTGGCAAATTAGGGTGAAAGTTTTAAGTATAACAAAGATCACCTTCATTTTACAAGAAGGTCTTTACAAGTTTAATGTGATATCATTTGGTCTCTATAATGCTTTTACTATTTTTTAACAGGTGATGAATGCAATATTAGGAGATTATAATTAGAACTTCATAATGGTCTATATTGATAATATTAATATTTACTCCAAGAATATCTACAGCATCTACAAAAAGTTTTTCAGTGAATTAAGGAAGTAGGACTAAAATTAAATGCAGAAAAATATAACCTTGTAAGAAAAGATCTACTATTCTTAAGCTATATAGTAACTAATTAAGATATTACGACTGATTTATCTATTATCAGGAAGATCCAAGAATTCTTACAACTGCATATAATTCACTCTCTTTATTTATTTCTTGGATTAACAGATTATTATTAAAAATTTGTTAAGAGCTTTTCACAGATTGTCATACCATTATTTCACCTATTAAAGAATAATATTAATTTTAGTTGAAAAAAGAAATAAGAAAGAGTATTCGAAGAACTCAAAAGATAACTGATCTTAACACTAATCTTGATGTATCCAGATTTTTCTCAAAAGTTTTACTTATATACAAATACTTCAGATATAGACTTAAGTATAATATTATCATAGAAGGATAACCAGAATCAAGTATGTGTAATTACCTATTCTAGTATTTCACTTAAGACAGGAGAAAAATACTATAGTGTAATGGAAAAGGAAGTATTAGCCATCATCTGGGAAATAAGATAATTCCAACATTATTTTCTTGAAATTCTTTTTGAAATCATCACCAATCACAGTATGCTCTGTTGACTATTCATCAAGCAGATTAATCCTGGTCTATAAGTGTCCTATTGGATAATAACAATGTTGAAATATACATTCACTATTTCTTACCATTCTGGAAAACTCAATCAAAATGTCAACATACTCTCTTACATCAATCAAAATTAATAGTGAAATGAGAATAAATTTGAGTAGTCAAACAAAATGATTAAATAGTGATAAGAAAACAAAATTTAAATAATAAAAATGAATCAAATTAACTGAATTATTCACAAAAACAAATAATAGAGATAAATACTTATAATAACTTATTATATTACCTAAAAAACAAAAGTTATCCTGTAAGATACGTAAAAAAATAATAATAATAAATCAAGAATCAAGCAAAATACTATATAATATAAGAAGAATTATTATATAAAATTAATAGAAAAAAAGAACTAAGTAGCTCTCTACAAGTTCTGAAGGAGCACAAAAATGGAAGCTATTATGACTTACATATATGGAAACTTATTTTTGAGATACTTTACGTATAAAAAAACTTATTAATATATTACTGCTCATTACTGATAGATTGGTATAAAAAGTAATATCTGCAACTTCATAAAGTCATATCAGACCTGTCAACAAACCAGTAGTGAAAAATTAAATAATCTCTTTTACCTATTAAAATCAGGATGCTATTTAACCAAATTGTAATTGATCTGATTAGATCATATAAGTTAATAGCAAATAGAAATTGATATATTATTATAACTATTAACTATCTTATAAAATGATTAGAAGCTCGAGTGATACCTGACAAGAAAGCTAATAATATTGTGATATTCATTTTTGAGAATATAATTTACTGATATGATTGTTCTAAAGAAATCCAGTCAGATAACAGATCTGAATTTGTCATCTTTATCATAAAATTGCTTACTGAATGGTTCAATATATAGTACAAGTTCTCCTTCCTGTATCATTCACAAACAAATAATATTGTTGAATATTACAATCAAACTCTTTGTTCAATGTTATAGAAATATTACATCAAATTGGATACTGAATGAGATATGTACATCCCTGTTATTTTATTTATCTATAGAATATTGAGAAATATTAGTACAAGACATAAGCTATTTTTCTTAACATATAGATGCAAAGCAAGATTACCCATTGAACTTTAATATGAAACTCTCACAACAAGTATCAAAAATATAGAAGAAATTATGAAAAACTGAATCTTTACTATTATATATCACTTACCTGATCAAATCCAAA